TGCCCACACAACAACGGTTACGTTCTTCTGGTTTAGCCCGCCCGTCGCAGGAGTTGTCGGAATGTGGCCGCTAGGCAGAGCCCAGTTTCTGGGAGCCACATGCGAGAGTTGGGTGCCAGTTAAAGGCCGTGCGTAGTACCTACCGCACGCAGGAGGCAAATGCTGTGACCTACACACGTGCATGTGTACTCCGTAACTGAACACCCTACAGCCCTGGTCATGGGATGGCAGTTCGACCGTCGTATCGTACGACGTCCACCGTGAGCTTTACAGTAAGGCAAAACAGGCACGGTGACTTACGCATGAATACTCTGACAGTGGGGACAGACTTATGCAGCATCTACTGCACCCTCTCCTCCTCCACCGCCTGGGTCCGGCGTCAAGACTCAATCAGGAAAACCGGAAGTGGGGGAGGGCAAGGGTCGGTGGCGCGGCCGAGCCCGCACCTTGGCGGTCCACTCCACACGCTCTGGTCCATAACAAACTCTTGACCAGGATTTTAACCAACATCACGAAGGACGAAGATAATGGCTTGATGGCCATGTTCACGATCCGCATACCCAGCGGGAGTGCAGGTGCATCCACTAACAGGGAACCAGGTGTCAGAAAACTGTCAGCGCATACCAGGCAGACAGGGTCATGGTTTGCTGATATCGGCATAGCAGACACTTATAAACCTTCAGATCTGATGGGATAGCCAAACAGGCACTGACATCCCGCTCGGACAGCTTGTTTATAATTCCTAGCTTTACCTCCAATGAAGTAATTTTAGTAGATATTCACGACTGAGCTATCCCACAGAAGTCTAGTCAGTGAGCTGATGCAAGTATCAGCTTCACAGAATTTTGATTTACTATGTATAAAATCTAGCTGGCTTTTCCGCCCACTCCGGCGTGCGTGCATTGTTTTGGCGGACTATTTTTATTTGTTTTTTCGGCAATTTTTCGTGGCGTCGTGGTAAACACTTTTGTCAGAAGGGGCCAAGGAGGCCTGCGATCGGGCAGTTCTACTTCAGAGGGGCAGGAAATAAAGGCATTAATACTGCCTTCGGAAAAAATAAATTAAGTTGCGAGCCCTAGGTGTACTTTACCTCTCTGAGCGGCATATAGACGCGTAGTCATGGATGCAAAAACTGGTGCCCTATTAAATCATCCGCCTTCTACCTTCCCGTTGGTATTTTTTTCTGATGCCTCTACCCTCCTGTCTACTGCCACACCGCTTACCTCAACGTACGATTTTCCAAAGATTAACTGTCTTCGATTCGAGCATGTGCGTGTTTACTGCCATTAGTAGGGAGGTTTCTCTTCACAATCCTCACCCGATGCTCCGCCAACCTGACGTCTTTCACTGCCCAGTGAATTTTTTTTGGGCGCTGAGTTTTCTACCTCCGTTTGGGTGGCAGTGTCTGGATGATGACGATCCGACAGCTGTAGTCCTATGCAGCCCTCTCGTACACTGAACCAATCTCCCTCTCTCTGAGTGTGTCTGCCCAAGCAAGTTGGTGCCCTTTCTGGTTGTTGCTGTTGTTGTTATTGTTTGCCTCGTCTAACATCCTCTGTCTCGCGCTCACACACGGTTCGCTTTCGATCGTTCCTCAATTAAGTTAGCGAAGGAAAAAAATCCCGAGGAAATCTCTATGAGAGACAGTGAAATTAAAGAAATCGGCAAAAAATAGATTTGATCAAGTTGGAAACCCACGCGAAGGTCAGTTTGACTTTGGTGCACCAGGGAATTCGAAAACAGACCACAGACCCGATCGTTCAAAACATCAACCAAGGTATACAGCTTGTCCGATGATCTCTCCTTTCTTCCTGAGACTTTCTCGATACCGTCATTTGCGTTCGATTAGCTTGCTAAATCCAGATTAGACAGAACTGGAAAGCTTACATGAAAATCCCCAATCAGCCCTGGATGGAGATCCGCTTTTTTAATACTTTCACGAACAGTCGGGGGACATGAAGAGAAGGTGTGATCATTGGAGCAGGGGCTTTATTTGTTTGGATTTCAGATTCTGTCGAGAAACTCTCACCATGGGCAATATCAGGTAAGAGTACCGGACGAACAGTAATTGCAATTTCTATGCCACTGTCATATTAAGCAGTTTCCGCTTTGGCCGCCGATGGCTGTACTTGGTGAGCTATTGACAACATCACTCGTATTCGAATCGGTAACTATAATATAGGCCGTCGGCGTAGCAATTACTCGGCATGTTGCGTATCTTATAAATATTGACTTTTATGTGCATTCCATCGACTCATCTGTCCCTGATTCGAAAGGGAATCCGAAGACGTAGGGGAAGTAAAATGAGTGTTGCTACAATCCCGTCTCTTTCTGTTCACTTCCTCCCTGGAGCTCGCCTTCCCGATTGTATCGACACAAAGGATATCAACAAGGACGCGGGTTGACTACTACGTAATTCAGGCAACCATAAGCCTGTCCACCAACTGGAACCAAAAACACAAACCTGCGCATATGCGCTCAGAGCAGATGGCCGACAGACAACGTCAATCAGATGGGTCGTAAGCACTTTATCAAGTCGAACCTCATCCGTTCCTCGCTACCTGACAACAGTGTTGTGTCAGTTTACCCGCAGTGCCACCGACAAGAATAAAAGAATGAATATTTTTATGCATGTTTTCCAGGAAATATAATTAAATCCTTAAGGCCATCGAAAATCAATAAGAAAAATCCATGCTACTTAAGAGGTCATTTTTTACGAAGTATGGTTTTTAGATGTGTCCGGACAGAAGTTTGTTCGAAAGCCGGTGTCCTGGGGTAAGGGAATTATTATAGAATTATGCTGCACGATGATTGGCTTTACCAGTCTTTTTGAAACGGAAACGGATTTCGGAATTTCTGTTGACATTTCATGAGTTAGCCCACCTAATCTAAACACCCTCAAAGGCCAGAGCTGATAATTTATTTACTTGAGTCTTCTGTTATTCATTCTTGGTTCCATTTGATCAGTATAATTTCAAAGGTATTTGCGACACAGAATATACTCCAGGACGGTGTTGTACCGACAAACACAAGGGAAACAGGTAAGTCCATGTCAGCCGGTCATAACCAATCTCAAGTTTGGAACACCTGAGATTCAAACCCGGGATCTCTGTTCATTGAGTCTAACGCTCTGCGATTGAGCTACGGACCCGTTGTCCTACCGGCTGTAATCGGAAATATTAATCATGAATCCCAGGTGTCCCACACTTGGCACTGAGTATGACTGGCAATTCTGGTCTCCATTGCCTTTTTTGGTACTTCATTAGCTACATGCACTAGCCACTATGTGATTGTCTGCGAGCGTTCTAGATTGAGCTCCAAGACATAACGGAAGGAGCTTGTCCCGTAATCTGGTTGGTGAGCGTCTTTTAATAGTAATACTCGAGGAAGCCAGGGAGTTGGACAATGCTAAACTGGTCCCCCATTCTAACGACGCGCCTCCACAGTGTTGTTACGAACGGCCTGCAGTCCCACTGCCAATCCCCATAACAACTCTTCAAAATTTCATCGAGACAGTCGACATACAGTAGGTGGACTAGCTCATGAAATTCCAACCGAAATTCCGAAATGCGTTTTCGTTTCAAAAAAAGATTAATTAAGTAGGGTTGGAAAACTAGTCAGCATGCAACATAATTCTCTAATATTTCACTTACCTCTGGATGCCGGCTTCCGAATGAACTTCATTCCGGTTGCATGCGAAAACTGCGCTCTGTAAGAAATGGCTACTTAATTAACATGATTTTTTCTCATTGATTTTCGATGCCCCTAAATGTCCAATTATATTTCATGAAAAAAATGCACAAAGATATTCATTCTTTTGCTCATTCGGTAGACAATTACGCCTTCTTCCAATCTTATACTCGAAGGAAGGACATACTTCGGTTTTCAAAAACGTTTCTACTTCCCGAAAAATGTTGAACCCGTTCCACCGTCACACTTGGATTCAGGGTTTCCAAACTAGGAGCCGTCTATTTTCCACGTACGGAAAACCACACATTTCTCTACGGTAGTAAAGGGGGACCATGTAGGGTTCATAAAATTAAACGCTGAATATGATCCATATTGTTAACTTTAAAGGCACATTGGTAAATGCAAAGATATGACGGTTTATGAACGGCAAGTTCACAGTTTTTAAAAGTCCCACAATTAGAAACATTTTTAAAACCGAAATATGTCTCTCCTCCGAGTATAAAATTAGAAGAAGACGTAATTTTCTACCGTAGGAACAAAAGAATGAGTATTTTTTTGCATATTTTCCATGCAATATTATTGGACTTTTAGAGGCATCGAAAATCAATGAGAAAAATTCATGTTACATAAGTAGTCGTTTTTTACAGTGTGTAGTTTTCGCACGCAGCCTGAAGGAAGTTCACCCGATAGCCGGCAACCTGAGGTAACTGCAGTATTGTATAATTATGTTGTAGACTGACTAGTTCTATAACCCTACTTAACAGATTTTTCGAAACGAAGACACATTTCGGAATTTCGGTTAACACTTCATGCGTTAGCCCACCTACCGTACATTAGGACACATCACCATATCACTGTGTGTTTTGCCACGGCTGGTCTTTGGGCGCGGACGTGACTATGGTTACTCAGTCGAACTCTTTAACAAAGATATCGAGCTTCATCTGCTATGCACTCCAAGTTGTCTCGGTGAACATCGATTCACTTGTTCACTATCGGACAGTTAGCGCAGAAATCGAGAGCATGGCAAACGCTTAGTTCCCTTTTCTCCCACGCCTGCTTCGTAAATTCGTCACTACGTTTGTCTGATGAACACATCACCGCCCACAATCGGCACCAATAAGATTAAATGTTCAGCGAATATTTCCAAGTTACAATTGAAAAGTCAAATTGGCGAACACGTGTTTTCAGTAACTCTTCATCAGGCCAAAACGGTTACAATGAAGTTTAAGTTATGCGAATTACATGACTTATAAATGATTCGGGGACAATTAACATCGATCGTTCCCACGCCATTCGCATGACGAGGCGTGCTATGGCGTGGTCGGCGTGTCGTGGTAATTGGGTTCAAGGGGCGAGGAAGAGGGGGGGCATAGGCTGTGAGTACGTCGTGTACCTTGTGCACCCACCATGGCATCAGGAGGTTGGGGCGACGTTGGGGTCGGCGTCGGCCACGGAAGACAGAGCGCCTGTGTCAGAGTCTTCTGACAGCATAGCACTGGATTGGCTAGCCGTATAGCCACTGCCTCAGCTGTAGCTAGCACCCGTTGGCGTAGGCCTTTGGAGAAGCCTGCTGGTGTCCGGTAGACAATCTGAAAGGCTTCTTTGGCATCGACTCGCTGATTCGTATCGACAAGATGTGCGAGAATAGAACTCGAGATCGATTTCTTCTCACCTTTGCCTAGCCAGGCCGGTATGTGTTCACGTACTCTCTTTTCCAAGCGCCTCGTTGTACGGCCGATGTATCCCGCTCCACAGGAGCAAGTGAATGAATAAATACGCATTGATGTGGCCTGCAAAGGGAGTCGGTCTTTACCTCCCAAGCGTAGGAGGGGAGAGTTAGTGAAACACACACGTAAGTTCGCCGCGGGGCAAGCGCTAGTGATCGCTGTCTTCAGACGTCTTTTTACCAGTTCACTTGCTGCGTCTCCTTGAAAAGACAATCGTATAAATAAGTCCTTCTTTTCTGCAGTTGCCATGGTAGGTTTTGCAGTGCGCTCCCCTATATTTCGAAGGATAAATCTTTCTGGATATCCGTTTTCGTGGAGTGTATCCCGCAGCTGCTGCAGTTCTGCCTCCACAGTCTCAGGAGAGCAGATACGTCGCACTCTAGCTGCCAATCCCTGGACTAGATTTCGTTTGATGTTGAGGGGAACAAAACTGTGAAAGTTAATGTATTGTCCCGTCCAGGTTTTCTTTCGGAATACTCTACGTTGGATAGACCCATCCTCTTGTCTGTGCAGAAGAATGTCGAGGAACGCGATTTCATTGTTTGCCTCAAGCTCTGCAGAGAACGTTAGCGAGGGGTGTGAATTGTTGAATTTTTGAATCAGGACGTCTGTGTCGGTGGTAACATCCGTCAGGCAGAAAATATCGTCCACGTACCGACCGTAGAAGCTGAGGTCATTAATGGTGTCTTGTAAACTTGTCATCTCGACTTTGCCCATGAAGACATTTGCGAGAAATGGGCCGAGCGGTGAGCCCATCGCTACGCCGTCTATTTGCCTGTACAGCTGACCATTGCAGAGAAACTGGACGTTTTGCGTGCACCGTGTCAGAAGCTCTTTTAGCGTCTCCAACGGCATGCCTAACGGGTAGTTCGTGTGGCGGATAACGTCATAAAGGTAGTTTATTGTTTCGGCTACGGGTACATTAGTAAACAATGATGCTACGTCTAAAGATAGCATCCTCCGTCCGTCAACGTTAATATCCTTTATCGCCTCGACAAACTCGAAGGTGTCCTTCAGACTTAGGGGATACAAATGACACGCGAATGTCACGCCTAGCCTTTCGTCAGTGAAGGTGGCGAGTTGTTGGTGACGGAAGCTAATCCTGGACCTCCTGTCCTAACAGACAGCATTATCGGTCAACTGGAAGACTTTATTAAACAAGCGATTCAGCACTGCAATGAAGCAGACCACGGATCCGGCTGTTAGAGGCTCTTCGTACTTACTACGGCACAGGAGTCAGTGCACGCGGCCGACTGCAAATGGGAAGCCAGCGCGAACAGATCTGTCGTTTGCGTGTGCTCGACACTTACCATCGCATTCGCAGCCGTTAATGACGATATGAGAGTCCATATAACCTGTGTATTGGCAGGCCCAGAAGGCGCACCGAAAATTCTTCAGTTACTTATTCTGTTCTTGAAGTATTACCTTCTGGTCTATAGCACAGTTGTGTGTGCATTTTAGACGGTATTATCCGGTGTTATGGGCGTTCACAGAGCTTGATATGGGATGCAGCCTCCTGGTATTCTCCTTAACCCTATATATTTCAATAATTGGTTTCCTAATAGTAGACATGCATTGCTATCGAGAACAAGAGAGACTGAAATGATCCTTTGCCACTTATTCGACAACCAGCTATAGCCAAGATCCAGGCCGATGAGAGCTAGGGTTTGAAGCAAGGTTCAGATCGACATTGGCCCGCAGACTCTAGCCGTGTGGACTAATGTTAGTGTGCTTCCGTCATTATATCCTGTTTAAAGAATGGCAAGCCGAAAGATGAAAAAAGCCTTCCAGGTAAAGGAAGGAGGCACGACTACAGAGAATTCGAGAGATCCAAGTTTAACTGCCAGGGAGGACGCTTTTCCAGAAGAGAGAGAAGGCATAGGTTGTGTTTTCCCCACCTCACTAGGTGCGATCACTTTTTAAAGGCCATTTTTTGTATGCATTCTGGCATTTTATATTGCTCACGGAGTCCTGATAGAGCATAGAAAACCTTTCTGAAAACTCCAGCGAAAGAAATATTAAAACCGCCCTAACATGCATTACCTTCTGGACCACTATGTTCCCATAGTTTTACCTTATGGCCATTCAAATTCCAACTTTTGTGTACTGCCACGTTTCTCGCGGAGTTTGTTTAACGCGGAATCACTCTTTTAGGGAGGCACTTATGGTAGGGTTTAAGGAATCATTTGTAGATGGTCACTGACCTTAAGAAGGTAAAAGGCATTTAGCACTGTAAATCTCCCTTTAAGACAGTTCACCTGTCGCAGGCGAAGATGTACGCAGCTACCCAACGAGGTGATTGCAGAAACGATTAATTGCGCGTGAACTTGTTCATAGTGAGAAAAACTTGTGCTGCATCTACCGCACTCTCTTCTCCCTCATTAGTCATGTGACGACGGCAAGACGAGACATAAATGTCAGAGATGGGCTCGGCTGCAGTGGCTGACGAGTCTTTTTTCAGTCTCAGTTTATATGAGGGAAATATGGGTGTTGAGCCTTTGAACTCCCTATTTGTTACTAGGAAGCGAACTATATCAAAAAATGTGAAAATGAGAACACCAAACAGCTGCAGAGCTTCTTCAGCTTGGCAATAAAAAAGGCAAGTATGCCTCGTCTGCGTGGGCCGCACACGGCCTGGCCCCTAGTCCATACAAGTCAGTCTCGGATCCCTCATCGGTGAAAATATCGGCGGAGCCATTGCGGCCCGTCTCTTGGTCCTGCGAGGAAACGAGTTATCCTGTCAGCTGGCATTACCTTACCACTACTGATACCGCGTCTTGATAAGTTTAAGCGTTTCCCGTTTATTCTAGTAAGCAGTTCCCGATGTGCTGTGGGGTTTAATCCAACTGCTGTTGGCCTAGCCCTCCTCCCTCCCCATGCTTTAGTGGACTACCTGAGTCTACCAACCAACTGGTGGCGGGAACGTTAATCTCCCTTATACCACACAGTTCAAACCGAGACGCCTCTTTGGAATAGTTGGCTTTATCCTTACTCACACCTCCGAATTTACAAACTCTGAGAGGCATTCTTGCAAATCCTACTCGAATACTCAGAGAATCTTACAGTGACTTATAGCTACAAGGTTGAACGGCTTATCTGATATTTCGGGACAACTATCTGTAAGGCACGAGCCACCGGTTTTTTTCCATTCTTGGGGCTATAGATCTTCCAGAGGCGGCGGTTCATGTTCCGTCTGCAATAATCCTTTAAGTTCAGCAGGTTCTGAGTTAGGTCTCATCATGCTGGCATCCAATCCATCAATGTAGTCGCGCACAACTAAGAATGTTAGATTTTAGTGGAAAGTTGATTGGTAAGACCCGACAGATAGGAAAAAAAGGAAAATCTGATAATAGATTAGTATCTGCAATAATCGCACGCCAGGGATTCTCAGTCGGTAGTTCCTTCCCTGTTCCTCAGGACTGCGAAGTTGGATTCCTGTCTTACTTCGAGCAAACGCAGCTGCTTCGAAAATCAAAGACAGAAAAGCACAAATTCTGAAAGAGCGTACGAAATATTAGAACAAGCGAATGTTCGGCGATCTGCCCTTTACACTATCTACTGGTAGTTTTCTGCAGTTTCGTGATCGGAACCGATTTCCATTGATACCCATTCTGGCAGGAAAAGGAAACACAGGATTCAGGATGTCTAGATTACCAAGAGCTTTAAGATCCCATCATTTATTCCTGGAGCAGCAACTGATTCCTATCTTCATATATCATCAGGAAATGTGAGATTTTGAGACTGACTCCGTCTGATGACGTTTAAACAACCACTGATATGTACGGTTTACTGGTGTCCAACAACATTAGAGCTGAGCGAGAACACCTTCAAAGTGATTGCAAGTAGTATGCGGCATGTGTCCTATGGCAAAACGTTTGTTGTCGTCAGTAGCAAGCTGGCAGGGCGGACAGAACGGGATCGAGTGAGATCCCAACCACAACAGTAAGGGTCATACGCCTACTTGACATATATATTTGGAAGCAAATAAGTTCTTTAGGAAAAGTAGAAAATTTTATTAAGTAAATTTTCGACGTTGGTTCTCTAGGTCGTCTTCAGACTTGAGCAAATATGAAAACAACAATTAGCATTTCAAACGTGCTTAGAAATCAATATTCACTTGGCGTTTGTCCCTCTAGAAAAGGCTGAGAGTTTCTCGAAGCCATGCACTCCGATTAATCATGCATCAGTCGGCACATTTTTATTAGATGCCATGCGCAGAAATTTCAGGAAAGTGCGGAAGAGAACAGAGCCAATCAATATCGAATGACGCACACGACGGCCGTTTACTGGCGCAAACCCCAAACGAATATCGGTTTTTCAGCTCGTTTGTTAATTGTTTTTGCTCATTTGCTCAAGACTAAAGACGACTTGGGGAACCAGCCTCGAAAGTTTACTCAATAAATTTTTTTACTTTTCCCAAAGGACGTATTTGCCTTCAAATTATATTTCCTGAAATGCCTGTACCAACTCATGAAATGCTAACAGAAATTCGGAAAAAAACGTTTTCGACTCAAAAGGTTGCTTGGGTAGGATCATAATATGAATCCGCGTGCAGCATAATTGCATGATAATTCAGTAACTTTAGGATTTTGGCTTTTGAATGAACTTCTTTCCTACCGCCTGCAAAAAATACAATCTGCAAAAAACGACTACGCAAGCAACATGACTTCTCCTCATTGATTTTCGATGCCCTTAAAAATTCAAATATATATCAAAGGAAACATGCATAAACATTCATTCTTTTGCTCATTTGGTGGAAAAGCACGTCTTCTTCAAATTTTCTACCTGAAAAAGGTGCATAAATCCGTTTTAAAAAAGTTCCTAATTATAAAATTTTTTAAGATGGTGAAATGCCTGTTCATAAAACATCGTATCTACGTATTTACTAATGCTGCTTCTAAGGTTTACAATAAGGCTTGAATCTACTGCCAAATTTTATAAACCCCACGTGGTTTCCCCTTAATGGCATATAGGACTGTGTGACTTTCCTTACACAGAAAACATACAGCTTTTAATTTGGAAACCCTGAATGCAACTACGACGGCAGGTCGACCCAAAATTATTTAGGAATCGGAAAAGTTTTTTAAAACAAAATCGTACCCAATTTGCGAGTATAAAATTTGAAAAAGACATGCTTTTCCATCAAATGAGTAAAGGAACGAGTATTTTTACGCATGTTTTCTATGAGATATGTTTGAGTTTATAAAAGCATCAAAAGGCAATGAGGAAGATTCATTCTGCTTACGTAGTCGTTTTTTACACAATGCAGTTTTTACATGCGGTCGAAAAGAAGTTCATTTGAAAGCCAGAATTCTGAAGTAGCTGAATTATCATGGAATTATACAGGAAAGCGATTAATATTACGATCCTACTTAAGTAATTTTTGTCTGTCGGAACGCTTTTCAGAATTTCAGTTGGAATATATGAATCAGCACATTTACTGCATATCTCCTATTGTTCTTTTTTGAAGGCAGACAGGTGGCCTCGCCATTCGTTGGCTTCTGAATTGCGGTTTCAAAAATCTCATTCACGGGGCACCACCATTGACGAGGCGCTTGTCCGAGTTCTTACCAACGTTCCATAATACTCAAGGAAGTAGTGCATTACCCGTTGCTTGACCAGACGTAGAACAAACACCTGGATACATTGATCAACTTCTAAAAGACCGGTTCTTCAATTTCCGGCAAGGGAAATCGGCACTACAAGAAGCTTTTGTACAAAACAGCCAAAATTTCGGCCTTTTCTGCTGGCGAACA